TTCCTTATCTGTGTCATCAAGCGGTTCTCTGTCCCTGGCAAAACCCTATTATGCAACAACATAAATGCATTGACATAACAGATTTCATCCCATCTGCCTAATTGTTGGCAGTGCTCTTCCAAGTGCATAATCATACAGTAATCCTAGGAACCATCCATGGGCCACCTTTCCCCACAATCCAAAACATAGATAGCCCACACAGTATTACAGTAATAAATCAGTACCTCCTTGGACATTGGATAATGGCAGTACATGCTCCAGTCCACCAAAGTCCTACCCAGTGGGCTCCCCTCCAGGAGCCAGCACAGAACTGTCTTTACTGGCCCAGAGATACAGGCCTAAAGCTGTGACTGAAATAATGCAGGCAAACTGTGAACATATAAACAAAACTTGAACCCACAACTCCATCTCACAAGCAGGTTTTGGGGTCTTACCTTCTGCCAACTGGTGCTGCAAATTGTGGCCTCCAAACCTTGGATGTGCCTCACCCAATCCTAGCCACATGGTCTTCCTCAGCCAGTCCTAACCAGGACCATAGTTTGCAACCCAAAATTCAGGTGACCCTTCCCCCTTCTTAGGGTCTGCCCCCTTCCCAGACTCATTTCTTTTCCACCTGCCAGATGTGTTTAAGTGGCCAATGCCTCTAGTGGGCATGCAGAGGATTTCCCAGCAACTGGAAAACTCACATTCCCACTCCTCGGGAGGTCGCCCTGCCACCAGCAGCTAGGGTCCTGGTGGAGTTGCCATTCACTGTTACGGAACCCAACCAGTGTGTGTGTGTGTGTGTGTGTGTGTGTGTGTGTGTCTTGGGGGAGGGGGAGGTTACTGCTTGCAGAATGCAGACTTTGACAAAAGAATCTAACTGTATGAATTTCAGTCAAGATGGTGATGTAGGCAGACGTGGTTTGCCTCTTTGCACAACCACATCAAAATTACAACTAAAATATAGACCACCATCACTCGGGAACAACAGAACTCAAGCAGAATGGAAGTCTGACAACTATGGCATTGAAGAAACCACATCTATCCAGACTGGTAGGAGGGGCGCAGATGCAGAATGGGCTGGATGCACACCCATGTGGATAAAAATTCGGGAGGGATATCTTGGGAGCAAGGGGTCCCAGACCCACACCAGGCCTCCCAGCCCATGGTTCCAGAGCCAGGAAAATAAGTACACACACCTTCTGGCTGTGAAAACCAGAGGAGATTGAGTAGGTGGAAGAGGGTGCTGGAGCCCTACGCAGTTCCACTTGGGGAACCCACACATGGATTCACCTACTCAGACTCACTCTTTCTGAGCTCTAGCACCAGGGTGGCAGCTTGAAAGGCACCAGTGGTATACAGGGAGAGACTGAAGTGTCTAGCATTGGGGCAAGCAGAGGCCTTTGTCCCTTTGCTGAGCCCTCCCCAACAGGGCCAGTAGGCTGGTGCCATATCTGAGACTCGATCAACCTGGCTAACATTGTGTGGCCCACCTGGAGATTCCCAGAGGCTCTACTCCACCCAATTTACAGGACTACCCAAGCTGCTTTTCCATATGAATGGCTGGTCTTGGCTCCTAATAGGAATCAAACAAGCAATAGCTGGCTTCAGTGAGCCCTAGAGGCAGCCTAATTAGGGTCACAGCTTGGCTTCACCTGGGAATCTCCAAGCCCAGCACAAGTAGCAGCCATCTCAGATTGCTTTGTAGCTCAGGCAGGGTGGCCCCAAGAAAAACACAGGTGGAGACTGACCTTGGCCTGCACCACCCAGGAAACCTCAGGGCCAGTGCACCCAGTGGATAGATACAGACCACGTCTGAGCACCACCACCCTGCCCCTGCACAGCTGATCTTTCACAGAGGGCAGAGGTTGGTGGTCAGTGGTTACAGCCAGTCTTGGGAGTTGACTGGCCAGGATAAATCCCTCCCATTGATCCGCCAACAGTAACCATGGCTCAACTATAAGAGGAGGGTATACTCAGCCCACACAGAGCATGCACCTTGAGTGCCCATCTTGGGAATAGGGGAGGCTGTGCCACTGAACGCTACAGGACAACAAATATGTTAAGACACACTAACAAGACACAGAGTCAAAGCAGCTCTACCTAGTACATAGAAACAAACACAGGGAGACTGCCAAAGTGAGGAGACAAAGAAACAGCTCAAATGAAGCAACAGATCAAAACTCTAGAAAAAGAGCTAAACAGAATGGAAATAACCAATCTATCCAATGCAGAGCTCAAAACACTATAAGATGCTCATGGAACTTAGTGAGGACCTCAGCAGCATAAAAAAGGCCCAGTCAAAAACAAAAGATACACTAATTGAAATAACAATTTACAGGGAAACAACAGCACAATGGATGAAGCCGAGAATCAAATCAATAACTTGGAACGTAAGGAAGCAAAAAACATGCCAAACAACAAGAAGAAAAAAGATTCCAAAATAATGAGGATAGTATAAACAGCCTCTGGGACAACTTCAAGAGGTCCAACAATTGCCTCATAGGGGTGCTAGAAGGAGAAAAGAAAGAACGAGAAAGTGGAGAAAAATAGTGAAAGAAATCTTCCCTAATTTGGTGAAGGAAATAGACATGCAAAGCCAGGAAGCACAGAGAATCTCAATTATGATGGATGCAAAGAGACCCACTCCAAGACACATCATTATTAAAAGATCAAAGGTTTAAGATAAAGAGAGGCTCATAAAAGCAGCAAGAGAAAAGAGACAGCCTAGAAGTAATTGACATTCTTTGTCAGCTGAGACAGCCTAGAAGCAATGACATTCCATTGGCCACAAGCATACCTAGTACCAAGATCTTTATTTCTAATACCATTTTTCAATAAAACAAACCTAAGATCCTTGGAGAAATGGCTGATTCTAGATCTAAAATATCTTGCACCAGAAATTAAGCAAGTGCTCAATAAAACACATAATGGGAGTTGTGTCATGGGACAGTGTAGCTAAAGTAGGAATAATCTGAGTAACAAAATAAAGTGGTATTGGGTTATATCTCAAAGTATAAGATAAGTATCCATGAGTCCATATTGATATAAATAAATGACTCAATAAATAAATGGGGGAAAAGAGACAAATCTGTGCAGAAAAATTACCAATAACTAATATGGATAATCTGACCTTAAGGAAGTAGAGCAAAACTCCCCACTCTTTAAGTGTGGGCTGTGCATAATGACTTCCTTTCAAAGAGCACACTACAGGAAAGAGGGGAAAGAGTAACTACACTACCTAAGTTACATGATCAAGATTAACATCAGCAGTGATAATTCGTGCTGACAGCTTATATCCTTAATATGATCTGGTGAGAATGGCATTTTATCTTTGTGGTCTTCCTAACACCTATAACCCCAGTCTAATAATAAGAAAAAATGTCAGAGACATCCCAGTTGAGGGACATTTTACAAAATACTGGGCCAGTACTCTTCAAAGTTATTAAAAACAAGAAAAGTCTGAGATCCTATCACAGACAGGAAGAGCCTAAGGAGCCTAAAGTAACATCAGGATGGCTTCCAGGCACACCTGCTGTTCCTGGGACAGAACACTAAGGTGGGGTATATGCACTGACAGAAACCCATCCAAAGCTTAGGGAAGTGTCTGTCTGAGGGTGCAGTTATGGCACTCACCAAGTTTTCTTATCCTTTGTGACACCACAAGCTGAAATTCTTGACCTGACAGTGCCACACAGATAACACACTCCGGACTTGGGTTATAGCGGTGGTTAGAAAAGTAGGTTCTAGAAACAGATTTCAGTTGGCATCCTACTCCACCATTTAATTTTTGCTTTGGGAAGATTTCCTAAGCTTCTCTGTGCCTCTTTTCTTATCATCCATAAAGTATTGATAGGAATTATTATTGTAACCCCCATCATCATATTGTTGGTGAGGAGCAAGCAAATAAGATAAAGCATGTTGGGAGTTTTGGCCCAGAACCTTAGCACTTAGATTTCAATAAATTTACTGATGTTAGGCATTTACTAATGTACTTTGTATGCTTTTTAAAATATATGTATTTTCTCCCAACAGAATTTATGAAAATTGTTAACCAGGTGTTGGAAAATTGAAATGACAAAAGGGAGCATTGAGTTATCACAGAAGTACTCACTGTAGGGAGCAGCTACCACACTACGTTGGAGAATCAAATGAAGACGTTTGAGATGTTTTTTGTTTTGTTTTTAAATTAACAGCTTTATTGAGGATAACTTACATATCATAAAATTCATCCACTGGTAGTGTATGTATGGTTCAATGACTTTTTAGTAAATGTATACAACTGTGTAGTCATAACTACAATCCAGTTTTAGAAAATTTCTAGCATCTTCCAAAATTTTCTCAAGCCTATCTGCATTCCATACTGGCTCCCACACATAGCCCCAAGTAACTGATTTCTGCCTCGATAGACTTGCTGAGTATAAGTTTCATTTTTTAAAAATCCATTAGTAAAAAGTCATGCAAAATAGATGCTATTTAGGAACAGACTTAACATTTGAAAACTATAACAAGTTTATTTTACTTTTTAAAAGACTTTATTTGTAGAGAAAAGGGAGGGAGGGAGAGATAAATCAATGTGTGGTTGCCTCTGGAGTCTCGCCCCCCCCCCGCCCCCCGGGGACCTGGCCTGCAACCCAGGCGTGTGCCCTGCCTGGGAATCAAACCCGCGACCCTGTGGTTTGCAGGCTGGCAGTCAATTCACTGAGCCACACCAGGAAGAGCAATAACAAGTTTAAAGTTGTGTAAAGGTTGGCTATAGTTTTATGGAGACCGTCATGAAGCAAAATGTAAAAAAAAAAAAAAAGTTCCCAGTTTAGGGCGGTTAGGACTGGGGAGATACTTGTAGAAATGGTGAGGAGGGTATGACACGAGTGTTAGGTTACCTCGTCGACCCGGACTCCACCTGGGGCTAGTGAGCCGCACACCTGCGCGAGCCCCACGCCTCCCTTTCTCGCGCAGGCGCAGTGACTTCGCTTGCCGGCGGGCGGGGCGCGGAGCCCGAGCCAGAGCTCGCGTCGAGCGGGGTGCGATTGCTTCTGTCTGTTGTGTAGTTATGTTGTCAAAGAAGCGAAGAGGCGGCGGGAACCCGGGTCGGGGTCTGGCTCAGTGCTGGTTATAGTGGGCTATGGGGGAGCCCGGCTCCTTGGTTCCGAGGGACCGCCCCGGAGGCCGGAGCTGGTGCTTGAGGCGCGTGGGGATGGACGCCGGGTGGCTCCTGCTGGAGGATGGAAACGAGGTGAGCGGGAGGCCTCGAAGGTTGGGAGTTAGAAGTAGCCGGGCCTGGAGGGGGCCGAGGCGCCCGAGCCCGAGGGCTAAATGGAAAAGACGGGGTGGGAGGGAGGAAGAGGAGAGAGACGCGAGGGGCCTGGCGGAGGGAAGGGCGAAAGGAGTTCTGGTGCGAGCGGTTGTGGGGGGAAGGGCCTCGGGTGGGAGGTGTTTGTGGGAAGTAGTGACCGTGTGGGAGAAAAGACGGGCCTCAATGGCGAGCTGGGAAGTCCGGTTGCAGGAAGGAGCCGGGTAGAGGCGGGTGTAGGGGACGTGAGGAGCAGCTGGGGTTTCGAGGAGACGGAGGCAACTGGTCTGGGAGGGAAGGGGGCAGTCCCAGTTTGGGTCGCGCGGAGCCGTGCGGAGCCCAACCTAGACGGAGAGCGTGAACTTTCTAGAGTTTATTTTGAAAACGGTTGTGAGTTTTGGGTCAAAATACTCAAACTTTAATGTAAAAATGCCTCCCTTTCCAGCTCTTGAGGAAAATAGGCACTGTGGGGTGGGCCACATTGATCCTGTGAGTCTCAGTACTGCCAAACGGCATCCCCTGAGCTGGGTGGGGAGTAGGGATGGAGAAATATAGGGGCTGCTTATATTGTTTTTCAGTGCGGTCATAAATGCAAAAAACAGAGGAAAGGTGAGACAGTTTCTTTTGAGGGACGTTTGGAATGGGGTGGTGGTTCCAGAAAAGGGCGATGGAAGAGGAAGGAGGGAGAGTTAAAAGAGTGCAGTCAGCTTGCGGCGAGCTGGATTTGGGACCAGCTGGTTGTGACCCGGAACCATTTGGGTTTGGTAAATAATTTGTATGAAAGATGAAGAAGTCTTTTATTATTATGTATGTATGTTTGATTAGATTTTTCTTATAAACTATATAGTCTCAATTCAGTCTCCCACGTATTTGTTGAGTACTTACATTGTTTAGTGTACTATAAGGGAGCCAAAGAAAAACTTCTGCCCTCAAAGAGTTTATGGTTTGACTGTGGAAAGAGGATTTTATACACAATGAAGCAGTCTGAGAACATTAAGGCAGGCTGTATAATCAAGTGCCAAGATGTGGATTATTTAGTGATATCTTAGAGCAGTGGTTCCTCAATTCAGAAGAGGGACTCGGGTCTAGCCTTAACTGCTGCTAAATTAAATGGTTATAAAGGGTTATAAAGGGTTATTTGTTTGCTGTGATTTGAAGAACATCGGGAAGACACCTCTGCCCCGACATCTCTCTTTGCCTCCAGGTGTCAGTGCATAAAAGTCTGCATTAGGCATTCATTCTTTCAGTGAGCAAGCATTTGCCTTTCCTTGCACTGCCCATTCCAGAATTATACACCTTTGGAAAGTTTCACAAATGAAGATACTAACCCTTGAGTAATAGTAATTATATTTTGTATAGAGTTTGCACTTTCACATAATTGCCTAATCTGAGCCCTTACACATATACTGTATTCCCACACACAACCCTCTAAGGTACTTAGAGGTCAAGTGTTAACTCATTCTTCATAATAAATTGCTGTGGATTAATTTATTACTTCTGAATAGCTTGGTAACACTATGAGTCTTGGGAGGAGGGGAGGACAGAAAGAATTAAAACATTGGCATCAAGGACTAAAAACCTTTTCTATACATATTTTAAACTGTTGGATAATTTTGACTGGGGAGAAACCCACAAAAACCAGAGGGAATGGTGAAACACATGGGAGGATTGGCCTGCCTCACTCCTGGTGTGGTGGAGAGGTCTGCCAGGCTGGGCTGTATGCAGAGTTGGGGATCCTAGGAAGTAGTTGGAGCATAGCCTGCAGTGTGTATGAAGAGAGACCTGAATCAAAGCCAAGAGATGAAGTCCTACTTATTGTAATGGTCCCAAACCATAGTGCAAGCTGATGTGCACGTAATTTGAAAGAGGTATGCTGATATCATTTGATTATAACAGAGTAATATCAGTTTCCTGTCCTCCCAGTTCACCTCATAGTCTTAGATTTCAAAGATAAAATAATAAAACAAGGTTCCTCTCATTTCACTGTAGGGAGTACTGTAGTAAATTGTCTGTCTGAATGTGTCTTTAAATTTCTTAGAGAGTTTTCTGAAGAAAAGTTGCAAATTAGCTAGTTTCCTGGCCCTGTAAGTATTTAGGCCTTTGGGAAAAGCCATAGTATCTTCATTTTCTCCCTTTTTCTTCTCTTGTGTTTCGTTTACATGAAACTTTTTGCACTAAGAGAGTTGGAAAAAGGGAAAGGATGGTTCTAGAATATTTGCTGGTCTTCTGGGAAACAGTAGGCATCATTCCCAGGAGGAAAGGGATAGGATTAGAGAAGGTACTTAAGGACAAGATGATCTTATAGACCAATGATGTCAGTTCAGCAAGCTTAAAGTCTTGCAGAATTGTACAGCAAATGGAAAGAACCCCAACCTATGAGTTCGTGGTTTGTTGGCACTCAGTTCCCATGGGAAATTTAGTTTTGTGTTAACAAATGGTGCTGGGATATTCGGATAAGCTCACTGCAGACTGTTGAGCTGTGGTTTACTAACGTAAATTTTAGGACCAGACAGTGAAGGGAAGGACAAAAAAAAGTGTTTCCTTTCTTTTCTAGATCCATAGTCTGTAGGAGGCAATTTCAGAAAAAGGCACTCTCTCCCTCTTCTGTAATACTTTTCCCAGGCTACTCACAATGGCAGACTGGCTGTCTCCCCTTAACTGTTAAAACTGATCATAGAATACTTCCTTTATTGGAACTAAAGCTACCTAAATGGAAATTTCTGCTGAATATGGATGACAGATAAGCCCTTAAATAGTCCATTTTTAAAGATACACACACACACAAATTCAGAGGAACTTCCATAGGTAATGGAATTTTTGGCAATTTATATATGTAAAAATCCAGAGGAATATATAGAAAATATATATATAAATAAATTCAGAGGAACTTCCATAGTTAATGGAATTTTTGGCAATTTATATATGTAAAAATTCAGAGGAATATATAGAAAATATATATATATAAATAAATTCAGAGGAACTTTCATAGTTAATGGAATTTTTGGCAAACTGTCAAAGAACTAAAAAACTTTAGACTTGGGGTTTTGGTAGAGGTGGTCACCACAGAATTTTAAAGGGGAACAAATCAGATTGTAAGAGTTCCTGGCTGCTTGCTGATCCATAGTTTTCAGTGGTAATAACCCAGTTTCCAACTTATGCCCTAAAAAAGACCTCTTAGAACCTGGGAGGACTCATAAGCAAGATCTCTTCATTTATTCACATATATCTATCTACTGAGCACCATGCCAGGCACAGAAATACAGTGGTACACGAGACAGATAAGGTCCCTGCTCATGAAATTTATCTTCTAGTAGGAGGGAGACAGAAATAAACAAGTTAGTTTTGTCTTGTGATAAGTCTGTACTAGTAACATAAAGAATGCAATGGGGTAAGACAGAGGAGTAGAGAGCAGGCAGCAATTTTAAATAGGGTCATCAGGATAGGCCTCTGAGGAGGTGAAACTTGAAAGATGAGAAGGAGCCCATGTAAATGCCTGAGAAAAGAATGTTCTAAGTAGAGAAAACAGGTGAAAAGACCTTCATGTAGCAGTGAGTGTTTTTGATCATAGCATAAGACTAAAAAGGTGAGGGGTTTCAGAAATGCAGGGTCTTATAGGAAGAAGTTTGGATCATTGGAGAATATTAAGGAGAGAAGGGGAATGATCTGATTTAAAGTTTTTATATTACCACTCCAGTTGCTCTGTGAAGAATAAAGTTTAGGAGGACCAGCACAGGAGCAAAAACAGCATAACTGGAGGAAGCCAGGCTGTCTTTTCCCCAAGGATATGTTTATTGATTTTTGAGGAAGAGTGTGGGGCAGAGAGGAGAGAGAAAGAAAGAAACATCAATGTCAGAGGGAAGCATCAGTTGGTTGCCTCCTGTATGCACCCCAACCAGGGATCAAACCTACAACCTAGGTATGTGTCCTGACCAGGAATTGGACCTGTGACCCTTTAGTGTATGGGTATGACGCTCCAACCAACTGGGCCACCCACGCAGAGTGGAAGCCAGGTTGTTTTGACTATGGTATTGGCCATAGAGATAGAAGGGAAGAGATTTAGGACATACTAAATTACAGCCAGTAAAATTTGCTGATGACTTGAATGTGGGGTGAGGGACAGAAGAATCAAAAATGGCTCCTGAGTTTTAGGCTAAGCAGATGGTCGGATGATATTGTCAGTTACTGAGATGACAGTCTGTAGAGGAAGACTAGATCAGGGCAGGGAGAGTCATGTGGGCTTTGAAGGACTGAGGAGGACAGGGATGGTCCTGAAAGATTTTCAAAAGGAGCAAAGAAGGCAGTTTTTAGAAAACTACAGATCATTTGTAATGTTCCCAGGTAAGGTTGTGGTGTGGGCCATTAAAGAGGTGGCTTGTGCACCAAGAAGAGCAAGCAGAGAACTCTAAGATTTGGATCTCAGAAGAATTTCAATTTTCTTCCTTGACAGGGTTATTATTATGAACTAGACCAGTCCATCAGGAAAGTATGTTAGATGTGAATTTGTGCTTCTTTGTAACCTTTTCCAGGGGCTCCCATGCTGCCCTTATGGATAAGATGGAAAATATGGACTCGAAGCAAAGACTTTGGTTGAATTTACAACTGGTTAAAGGGTGTATCCAGAATATTGTGATAGAATGTTTACTAGGCTTTCCTGAGAGCTTTGCCTTTGGCTACATCCTCTTTCAATCTTGTATCTATGTCTTGAATGAAGGTACAGAGGGCATCATATCAGTTTGGTGGGTGACTCAAAGTTGGAAGGAGTAATGAGTATGTCTGATGGCAGATTAAAAATTCATAAAGGTCTTGGCAAGCTCATATGATAGGCTGAGCTAACAAGATGAAGTTTAATAGGAATCAATGTAAGGTCTTGCACTTGAATCCAAATTTACCAACTATCAAGTATAGGACAGAAGACACATGACTTAACATAGCAATTCTTGGAGGAGGGTCAGACCAAGAAATATAATCATTCCTAAGTCTGAGGATATAGTGGTAGTGTGACAGAACTGCTGTGAAAGCAAATGCAATTTATACGCTCCGGGGATAGTATTTAGAACTGGGAAAGTAATACTTGGATTCAACTGTGTAATAGAAACTAAGTTTATTTTTCTTACTGTGGCATCCAGGATAGCAAAGACCCATTAGGATAGTGAAGAGACTCAAACTTAGGCCATAAGAGATAGGTTGAAGTAACTGGGGACATAGGGCCAAGAAAAGAGAAGACTTGGTAGACACTATAGCACCCATGTGGGAGGCGAATTGTAGATTTTCTGATGATGTCATGGCAGAGCCAGGGCCAATGGATGGAATTTATAGTGAGAAAGATGTTAAGTCAGAGCCATTAAAAAATTGGATGAATTGTCTTATATAGAGGCCATAGCTCTTGGCAGTGTTTAAGACTGGTTGATGAGGGTGTGCAGAAAGAATTCCTCAGTCTCATGACTTTTTAGGGTCCTACCAACCCTGACTTTCCATGAGTAAATCCATTCACCTGTCTCTTCTTGTCACAACTTCTTGCCTTTTTTCACCTGGTGGCTTCCATGGCAGCCAAAGGAGGAGATTGCTGAGGAGCTGTGTGGGTTTCATGGGAGTCTAGTTTCGTAAGTCAGGACATGTGTTTGACAAGATTGTAAACCTTTTTATCAGCACAATGGCTGCTGGTGTCTCTTACATTGTTGTTGTCTTCTAGGTGACTTTAGGACGAGGACTTGGCGTTACATACCAACTGGTATCAAAAATCTGCCCTCTGATGATTTCCCGAAACCACTGTGTTTTGAAGCAGAACACTGAGGGCCAGTGGACAATTATGGACAACAAGGTACAGAAATCCATAGACACCTAATGATTTTTATGGAATTTTTGTTTATTTTTAAATTGTTTTTTGTGTGTATGTAGGTAATACATGGATCACAATTTAAAGATTCAAAAATAAATCGTCTCACCTAACTACCCAGTTGTTTTCCCCAGAGACAACCACTTCTGCATGCTACCAGAGATTAGATTATGTCAAAATAATTTCAAAGGATTTAAAGTTAGTTACTCTGGGAACACCTGAATTGCGGCAGTGGATCTTGTTTCAGAAACGAGACTAAGTTATTGTGGGCATTGACCCTTTGTAACTTGAAGGTCCAGGAACCTTGGGAATCTCCTGAAGATTCTGGGATACACCTGTGGTTCGGGGCATGGGTAGGAGGGAGGAGCTGAGTTTACTGCCCCTAGTTCCTTCCCCTCCCTACTCCTTTCAATCAGGGCAAACCATCTCCCTCCTTTTTAAATCTGTTTCATGTATTGGTGTTCTGACGAACATTACCTTTGAATAAAGGGTTTTTCTGCTTTAAAATTTTGAAAAGTATGAATACTAAGGGAGGTGAAATAGTGTATAAAGCCTAGAAATTAGGAAGTACCTAAAGTACAGATATTCAAGCATCCAGGGATACAGTGAAAGTAAAGAATATGAGGTGAGAGTAATTCTAATGTAGGCATTTAAGGATTAGGAAGTATAAAATGTCTTCAGACACCGTTTTAAACCACTCTGGTTGGAAGGATTTTAAAGGTAACTGCTAGAAGGAAATATATTGACATGGTTCTGAGATGAATTTCTTTCTACATGTGGGGAGGGTTACTCCTACACCACCAAGCAGTGCTGGGGACACCAGCTGGGTGTCCTACAATTCTGACACTAGCTACCTGGAGATAGCATCAGATCCCACAGGTAAAAGGCTCAGTCCCACAAGACCACCCTCCACTTCAGACCCCCATTGCACCTGTGCTTCTGATCAACCAACCACCCATAGATTAGAGGTTCCAAGGACCCCTTCCTTGGATTTCAGATGCCAGTTGCAAGTACAGATTGTTACTTGTACCTCTGATCAACTGGTTATAAATCAGAGGTTCCCATGACCTCCTACACCTTTGGATTCAATTAATTAGCTAGAGTGACTCACAGAACTCAAGGAAACATTTAGTTACATTTACAAGTTTATTATAAAAGGATAGAAGGGCTTCTGGTCAAGGTGGTGGCATGCATAAATGCAGTACTCGCATCCTCCCATAACCACATCAGAATTATGACTACAGTGCAGAGCAACCGTCATTTGGAACCACCTGAAATCTAGCTGAATGGAAGTCCTACAATTAAGTATATACAGAAGAAGTCACAGCAAGACTGGTATAAGAGGGACGGATACAGAACGGGCTGGTCCCATACCCACATGTGGTGGTTTAAAATCGGGAGGGATACCTTGGCTGTGGAAGTTCCCCCTGAGGAGTGAGGGGTCCCAGCCCCGTACCAATCCCCCCAGCCCAGAGTTCCAGTACCAGGAAGAGACGTCCCCATAATTTCTGGCAGTGAAAACCAGTGCGGATTGTGGCCGAGTGAGGCATAAGGCTGCTAGGGTTCCAGGCAGTTCCTCTTAAAGGGCCCACACACAGACTTACTCTCACTTGCTCTCTTGGAGCTCCAGCATTGGGACAGCAGCTTGGAGGGCACCAGAGATATACAGGGAGAAACTGAGTTCAGTTCCCTGATAACTAATATCAGAGTGAGAGCTGGAGGGGCAGCTTTCTCCCAAACAGAAGTGTGGGCAGAGGCCATTATTCCTTTTTTGAGCCCTTCCCCAACCAAGTTTGTACGTGGGACCCATATCTGAGTCTCCATTAACCTGGCTATCAAGTGCTTGCTCACCTGCCTTGGCGATTCTGAGGCCCTGCCCCACTAATTTGCAGGCCCACCCAAGCTGTTTCCAGTGGTTTTTCCACTGTCTTGGCTCGTGCTTCAGACTTTTCTAAAACCTCTCAAACATCTAGCCTTGCTGTGCCGTGTACCTCTTGCTAGATGGCCCCAGGCTTGGCACTAGTGGCAGCTGGCCTTGGTTTGCAGCTTGGCCTCTCCTGGGCATCTCCAAGCCCAGCATAAGTGGCATTCATCTGCACATTGCTTTGTAGCTCATGCCAGATGTCCCCTGGCAGAACACAGGCAGTGGCTGACCTTGACCTGCACCTCCTGGGAGGCCCCAGAGCCAGCGTTCTTGGAGGACAGCTTCAGACCATGTCAAAACACCACCCAACCACCTCCACAAATGACACACTCAAGGGACAGACTCAGTGGGCAACAGAGTCCCACTGAAGTAAGTCCTTCTCCATAGGGTTGGTCCTCCACAATGGTCACAACCAATCCTCAACAATGGTCACAGCTAGTCTCTGCAGCTGATCATCCTGGGGGTAAATCCCTCCCATTGACATGCCACCAGCAATCCAGGCTCAACTAAGAGAAGTGTGTACACAGCCCACACGGGGGGGCAGGAAGTGGCACACCTAGAACACCCAGCTTGGGTGATCAGTGAGACTGTGCCATTGGACCCTACAGGACACCTACTACATACAGCCCAAGCCCGGGAGGCGTAGCAGCTCTACCTAATACATAGAAACAAAGACAGGGAGGCAACCAAAATGAGGAGACAAAGAAACATGACCCAAATGAAAGAACAGAACAAAATGCCAGAGAAAAAACTAGACAAAATGGAGACAACCAACCTACTAGATGAAGAGTTCAAAACACTGGTTATAAGGATGCTCAATGGACTTAGGGGAAAAGGAGATTAACTTAGAACTTCAGCATAAAAAAAGGACATGGAAACCATAAAAAAAAACCAGTCAGAAATGAAGGCTACACTAACTGAAATGAAGAATAATTGACAGGGAATCAACTGTAGAGTACATGAAACCAAGAATCAAATCAGTGATTTGGAATATAAGGAAGCAAAAAACACCTAATTGGAACAGCAAGAAGAAAAAAGAATCCAAGAAAATGAGGATAGTATAAGAAACTCTGGGACAGCTTTAAGCATGCCAACATTTGCATCATGAGGGTGCCTAAAGGAGAAGAGAGCAGAAATTAAAAACCTATTTGAAAAAATAATGACAGAAAGCTTCTCTAACCTGGTGAAGGATATAGATGTACAAGTCCAGGAAGCACAGAAAGTCCCAAACAAGATGAATACAAAGAGGCCCATATCAAGACATGTGATAAATCAAATGCCAAAGGTTGAGGACAAAGAGAGAATCTTAAAAGCAGCAAGAGAAAAGCAGTTTCTGCTTTTCTACAAGGGAGCCCCCATAAGACTGTCAGCTACTTTCTCAATGGAAACTTTGCAGGACAGAAAAAATTGGCAAGAAATATTGAAAGTGATGAAAAGCAAGGACCTACAACCAAAATTACTCTACCCAGCAAAGCTATCATTTAGAATAGAAAGACATATAAAGAGCTTCCCAGACAAGGGAAGGCTAAAGGAGTTAATCACCACCGAACTTTATTATAGGAAATGTTAAAGAGTCTTCTTTTTAAAAAAAAAAACCCACAGGATTTTATTTATTTATTTTTAGAGAGAGAGGAAGGGAGGGAGGGAGAAAAAGAGGGAGAGAAACATTGATTGGTTGCCTCTCACACTTCCGCAACAGGTGCCTTGACTGGGAATGGAACTGCCCAGCTTTCGGTTTGCAGGATGATGCCCAGTCCACTGAGCACACCAGTTAGGGCTAAAGGGTCTTTAAGAAAAAGGAAGAAAAAAGATCAGAAGTATGAACAATGAAATTTTAGTAAATACACATCTATTAACATTTGAATCTAAAAAACAAAATAAATGAACAAGCAGAACAGAAACAGACTCATATGACATTTTGATAGTTGCCAAATTGGAGAAGGGTTAGGGGATGGGTGAAAAAGATGAAGGATTTAAGAAGTACAGATTGGCTGTTACAAAATAGTCATGGTGATATAAAGTACAGCGTAGGGAATATAGTCAGTAATATTCTAATAACCATGTATGGTGTCAAATGGGTACAAGATTTATCAGGATGATCACTTAGTAAGCTATATAATGTCTAATCATTGGGTTGTACACCTGAAACTAATATAATAATGTCAGCTGTAATTGAAAAAATAAAAAATGATTTAAAAAAGTTTTTTAAATAAAGGGATAGGATAAAGGATGCAGATGAACATCCAGTTGGAAGAGATGTTTAGTGTGAGGTATGTGGAAAGGGGCATGGAATTTTCATGCCCTGTCTAGGTGCAACACTCTCCCAGCACACCCATGTGTTCACCAACTCAGAAGCTCTTAGAACTTGTTCTTTTTTTGTTTGTTTTAATGGAGACTTCACTACAGAGGCATGATTGATTGAATCTTTGGCCATTGGTGATGAATTCAACCTGCAGCCCCTTCCCTCCCAATAGATCAAGGGGTGGGACTTACAGTTCCAGCCCCCTAGCAACCAGCCCTCATCCTTAGTTGACCTGGGGACAGTCCCAAAGTCACCTCATTAACATAAAAAAAGACACCATGCTCTCTGTCACTTATTAGGAAATTCCAAGAGTTTTAGAAGCTCTGTGCTAGAAATGGGGATGCAGTCCAAATATATGCTTATTATAATTCACAGTATCACAGGTATCCTGCACGCCTGCCCAGCAGCCTCATTTTTCATGCATAAAACTGGTAGATTTAAGCTCTTGGAGAAAGTACTTCCTTGCACTAGGATTAAGTTGAGTTGGCACTGTGTTGGAGAGGCTAAGTAAATCGGTTCAGTACCCTTGGCAAGGCCCCATGAGAAAAGAAATTGGCCCTGAAAAGGGAACTTAGAGATGATGTAGTTTAACCCCTTTTGGGAACAGATGAACCTGAGGCCCAAAGAGATAAACTGACTTGCTCAAGGCCTTCAACATAACTGGTTGAGTGAGTGAATAAGTCAGGGCTCAAACTCAAATAAGTCTCCCTACTATACCCCATTGTCAAATACCAGTAAAGGACTCAAGCAGTTTGCTGTACTGGCTGTGTGGTTTTAAAAAAATTAATTATGCATATTTAAGACATAGCTGCGAAATTTTAAAGCCCCTGCAATAGCTTGTTTAAAGCCCCTGCAATAGCTGCCATAGCAACACCTTAGGGAAGGATGTTTTTCTCATCCGAGTTGACTATTTATTAACGGTTACAGTATTACAGAATCGAGTTGTTTGCTGCTTCCTTCTTTGATAATGTGCAACATAAATGTGTTCCATTTATGGTATAGCAGATTTTGAGAGGTTGGGAAGCCACCAGCTGACTGACTTTAGTGTTCCTTGAACATCAAACTCAGGGACTCAGAGACAGCCCGTGCCAACAATGGGTCATGGCAGGGCTCCCCAGGTTGCTCTCCAGTATTTGCCTTGCACCCTTTCTTCTAGGGCTGTTATCATCGGACTCCTCTCTTGGATCTCAGACAGATAAGATAGAAAAAGGGTAGACGCCTGATTCTGCCAAGTCTTTTCTGGTTTAAGTCTCTTAGCTTTGATTCAGTTTGTGAGGTGATTGAGTTTTGAGAGAAGCTATGACTGGATTGTTTAATGGAACAACTATTCTTACAGGTAAGCCGCTCCCTTCGCTTTTTTTTTTTTTCTTACCAGATGCTCCTTTTCTCTCTGGCATGATGCCTTACCAGCCTCTCCTGATGAAGGATTTAAATTTCAGTGCAGGATATTATTGTTATGGTCCTATCTGAAGTCATTTGCCAAGTCTTTTTAAGAGGTGATATTAGTAATAACTCAAAACTCAGAACTACATTTCTCCTTCAAAAAATGGTCTCTCTCACATGCTGCGATGGCCAGAAAGGGAATGCTGAAGGACAGATACAAATAATGCAACAAATGCAATTTTGGTTTAAAATTGAGTTAGAAAAAAACCCAACTTTGAAGGACTGCTTATTCTGTACACAAACATGCGGATGGGGCCCTGGCCAGATGCCCTAGTGGGTTGGAGCGTTGTCCTGTGCATCAAAAGGTTGTGGGTTCCATTCCCAGTCAGGGCAAATACAGGAGGCAACTGATCTATGTTTCTCTCTCACACTGATGTTTCTTTGTTTCTCTCTCTCTCTCCCTGCCCCCTTTCCTCTCTCTCTAAAATCAATTTTTAAAAAAATACATGCAGATTGCTGTAGTTGTGTAGATTTTGGTTCATTGAGTGGCTCTATGTATTGGTATCCAGCTGTTTCAGAAAATTTGTTGTTTCAAAGTCACAATCTGAAATGCTTTGGTGGGTGTGCTTATCTCCAGTCCGAGAGGCTCAAACAAGTCACTTGAGCCGTTCCCATTCTTCCCCTTCTATCATATTTTATTCTCCCATTCCTAGGTGATTCCCACCTTTGTCCTGTTTAAAGTCTATGGTGAGTTATATTATGTGAACAAACCTTGTTGCTTGGGACAGTTCAGCTTCTGGTGTTTCAGCAGCTAGAGCAGTGATGCTCAACCCTGTTTGCAGTTTTTGCCCTTACCTAGGATACTTTTAAAACATACTGATGGTGGCCTTGGCTGGGTATAGTTCAGCTGGTTAGAGCTTCACCCCTATAAGCCAAGGTTGCATGTTCAGTCCTCTATCAGGGCACATACAAGAAACAGCCAATGAATGCATAAATGAGTGGAACGACAAATTGATGTTTCTCTCTCTCTCTTCCTCCCTGCCACAATCTTCCCTCCCCTTCTTCCCTTTTCCCTCTCTCTTTAAAATCAATGAATTTAAAAAAAAAATGGAAGAAAAGAAAGGCTTGAACAGAGTTTAATTTATTTAAACCATTGCATTTGAGATCATATCCTGGCCAGTACTTGATTGTTCTTATACAGCCATGGTATTTTCTGTAGTCACCTTGTGAACAGACCTGACTCAGGGCTGTGGTCTAAATCATACCACTAGGTGTCACCAGGAAGTGATGAATGGGTAAACATAGAAGGATCCTAGGATAAACGTGATGGGAAAAACTTGAGAGCTTATTTTTCAGGTCTAAAGGGCCCTGAAGGAGGCAAGTTAGTACAGAGGATCTAGTGGAAAGCTGCAGTATGTCTTGAAAGTTTGCCCCAGCTTATCCCTGTTCTCTCTAGTCTTGGGCTGCTTCTGTAACCTTCTTTCTTTCTTTCTTTAACCTTATTTTTGCCTTTGACATTTTTCTGACATGTCTGTATCAAGGCATTAGGTTGCCTTCTATGTCATATTACTTTTCCTGAAACCTTTTTCCTATGTATAATCAATCTTCATATAAAACTGTTTTCAAATAAATGTTCCTGACCTCCAACCCCCTCCTTTGTATTTTCCCATGTGTTGTCCACAGAACTGATCACTCCTCATAGTTTCTCAGGCTGAATATGAACAGGATGGTTGGAAGAAGTTTAGTCAGATAAGCCAGGATAGGCCCAGGGCAGTGGGTTAAAGCCAGTCTTTCTGTAAATATCTAAATAGATCTATGCCCAGCTTTTCTTCCCTCTCCCCACTCAAGCCAAATGACATAAAACCAGAAACAAGGGCCCAATACCAAAACAGAGTTGAGCTCCAATCTCTACTCTCCTTCATCCTCTCTGCCTTGTGGTCAAGCACCCATTGTTTACATTGGGTTGACCGGGTAATTTTTATAGCTAAAAGTAGGTAGCTATAGTTACCAACATAAACACGAGTCTTAGTACCAGTTCAGCTGTGAGCTTCATGTCTGGCCTATCCCCTAAAGTTAAGTACTTGATATTGGTTAAAACAACCACTGGTTTCTTTAGACTCTAAACTCTGCATTTGTTTCAAGTGCTTTAGAACCCATTATCCCCATTTAGAATCTCTTAGCTAGCCCAGCTTCCCATAATATTCCATTGCATTTATACGCTGTGCTATGTGCTCACATTTGCATATATGTGCCCTTGTGTTTTGCTTTCCACAGCTGCTAAAACTTGTTTTCATATCTTTCAATTTTGCACTTGGTATATTTACCTTGAAAGATGCTGAGCATAGAATTGAAGTGATTGTTGATAAACCAAGCCAGAGCATAATAATAGAGAACACTTAATATAATGCCCACTATGCGCCAAGCACTTTTCTAAGTACATTACGTCTGTAGTTTTGTTAAATCCACACAAACACCATGAGGGAGAGACTGTTACTATTTTCTGTTTTAGAGATGTGGTAACTGGGGCATAGAGAGGTTAAGAAACTTGCCCATAGTCACACAGCTATTAAGTGATGGAGCCAGATTACACTCAGGCAGTCTGACTCCAGGCTCCATGCTCTTAACCCCTAAACTATGGTTTAGTTAAAACCATAAGTAAATGTACATCAAGAATTTATTATACGTGAGCCACTGTGCTAGGTGTTTTTACCTGCTTTTCCTCATTTATTCCTCACAGGAATCATAGAGGTAGGTACTGTACTATGCCTATTTTACAGACAGAAGTGAGGCACAGAGAGGTTAAATAAATTGTTGAAAGCCATGCAACAATAAGCCCAAAGCAGTACAGTAGGTTAAGAACCCAAGTCTGAGTCTGGAGCTCTAGCTCTTAACCACTCTGTTCTATTGCCCATGGACCTCTGGTGCTATTAACTGGGTCAGGTTCCACCTGCAGTTTGGCCCCAGGACAAGTACTGGTACTCTCTCTTTTGGTTTATGTGTACTGGAAAGTGCTCTGCTCATTTACCAATGTGCTCAGGGGGCACATCCAGAGATAATGTCTGCTTGACTTTCCTGGTCACGCCTACCTTTGAACCTCATCAATAGATGCTACTTTCTTTACTAATAGCAATTTTTTTTTTTTTGGTCCTGGGCCATTGCTTCCAGTTTAAGTCAATAGGAGCTATTAAATTTCTGTTTCTTTCAATGCTACTGCATTTAATTGAGTAATTCATCCACCAGTAGTAAGATGATTCTTGCCTGTTATATAGGCAGTTCTCTGTGGAGGCATGAATGTGAAATATAGGTAGAAAGCCAAAGTGCTGTTTGAAGAATGCTGTTTCTAAGGATGGTGGTTTATGAACCTTTCTTTTCTATTCTCAAGGGTTTTCCTTTTGAAAAGGCAGAAGGTTTGCAGCAGCAGGGGAGACATTCCATTAAGAGGAGGAAAATCATGAAGCTTATTTTGTCTTTCTTTTCCTTTTCCCAGAGCCTGAATGGTGTTTGGCTGAACAAAGTACGTCTAGAACCTTTAGAGGTCTATCTTATTCATAAGGGAGACCACATCCAACTTGGGGTGCCTCTGGAAAATAAGGAGAATGCAGAGTATGAATATGAAGTTACTGAAGAAGACTGGGAGAAGATATATCCTTATCTTGCCCCAACAAGTGACCAGTTAATGGAAAAAAATAAGAGCTTGAGAACTAAAAGGAAGTGTAATTTGGATGAATTAGAGGCTCCTGAAGCTGAAGGCCCCTCACATTTGAAATCCAAAATAAGTAGAATGTCTTGTGAACCTGGTCAACCACTGACATCACATGGGAAAGGTGAAATGGCCAGTCAACCCCCTGAATATGTGGAACCTAAGCTGACTTCTCTTGAGCCAAGTGAGAACATCCTCGGGGCTCATGTTTACTCTGGCCCTGCCAAAGTCCTGGAGCCTCATCATGAGGAGCAGAAAGCCTCAAACCCATTAGTATCTCAGAGTAGGTTGGAGCTGTTTAAGGTGACCATGTCTAGGATTCTGAAGCTCAAAACACAGATGCAGGAGAAACAGGAAGCTGTTCTGAATGAGAAAAAGCAGACCCAAAAAGGGGACTCAAAGAATATTGTGCAAATGGAGCAGGAATTGCAGGACTTACAGTCACAGCTTTGTGCAGAGCAGGCCCAGCAGCAGGCCAGAGTGGAGCAGCTAGAGAAGACTTTCCAGGAAGAGCAGCAGTATCTCCAGGTACCACCCGGGAGAGTAGGACAAGAGGGCCTCTCAGGGGTGGGCAGGTCCTTTGTGAACCTTTGACTAGAGCTCTGTTTCTGGGTCAGGGACCAAATGCTGTGCACCAGGGATAGGAGATGGAATGGGACCAGAAAACTTTGAGGTAAGAGAAGGGGTTTAATCAAAGGTTAAGGCTTTAGCATGATGATGAGTTCAAGAGCCAAAGTTGGGGTGCCAGCATGGAGTAAGGTGATGGGCATTGCCAGCCTCAGGATGTAACTGATCTCAGGATGTAAAGTTGAGGCATCTCAGAACGGAGGTAAATTCAGCAAGAAGTTGGATGAAGGTCAAGATGCCACAAAACCAGAGTACACTCAGTTTAAACCAATAGTTGTCCTCATGAGTTATTTTCCTTTGCTCTGTGGTCAAAGTCAAATCATTTAGCCCTAAGGCAGGTACAGGTCAGCTAGTTATTCTGCCCTTGATGTACCTGGCAACTTGTTAGCTCTGTAGCTAACTTAGGAAGTGGGAGCCTACAAAGGCAGAAAAGGCTTTTCTTTCTTTCCTGAGCAGCCAGCATGGGAGGGGACAGGTACACCATGACTCAATTGTAGGGTTGAATTATAAGCCACCTTCCACGGTACCTTTAGTGGGAAGGTCAAATAATGACTCTCTTAGCTGTTTCAAGATAAGGCCAGATGTGTCCCCACCTGTAAGTCATTTTCTTAGACGGCAAGCTTTTGCACAAAGCTTCCAGCCTGATTCAGGTCCTTGCTTAAAATGTCAGTTCCCATTTGGCAAGAGCCACATGTTTTACTGCCACCTTCTTGCTCAGGTAATAGTGAATGTCAAGAATTCCCCACTGTTGACCTAGAACAGTGATTTTTCAACCTTTTTCATCTTGTGGCACACACAAACTAATTACTAAAATTCTGTGGCACACCAAAAATATTTTTTTGCCAATCTGACAAAAAAAAAAAGGCATAATTTTGATTCATTTACACTAGACGACTATTTTTGTGTTGGCTGTTGTCATTTTTTTTTTTTTTTTAATTTTACAGCCTAATGGAAAAGAGGTCAGTGACTCTAACTAAATAGACAGGTATTGCATGTTTTAAAAATTCTTGCAGCACACCAGTGTGCCACGGCACACCAGTTAAATATTCTTGACTTAGAACTAAAATGGGCCAATTAGGATTGACATGAATAAGCTTTTAGCTTTTGTTTACTTTATTCAGGGTAGGTAACAACCAGTAGTGTTTGCTTATTTCTGAATAATTTATAAATTTCATGGATTAAAAAGATCTTTCTAAGGGGATACACTGCTCATATGTACCTTTTTGCTTCCCTATCTAGCCAGGGCCAGTTCTTGAACTCATGTTGGAGGGGCCAGTGGAGGAATTATAGCCTAAGCTCAGGCAAGGTGGGAGGAGGAGCAGTTTATGGGTTGGAAGTGGTAAAGAGACTCAGCTTGAGAGACAGAGGGTGCCAGAATCAAGGGGAGAAACATGGAGGAGCTCATGAGTGCCAGCCTGGGGGATTTCACCTGTGTTTAGATAGTTGGTCACTCAGAACCTTTCAACTTATCTTGTTTTGGGAGTAACAGCATTTGTGGTAAAGGAGAATTAGCCCAGAGTTTCTCCAGAACAGCCTGAGTGGTGCTTAAAAGTGAGAGCCCTGAGGTGAGCAGTATTTGAGCAGTTAACTCTCCTTAAATCCCTTACTGCCAACAGCTTGAAGTAAAATGGGAAATTCTCCATCTGCTTCCTGCCCCTTGTTTCCAGATGCTCATGCTAGCTGGTCTGCTCTGCTTGTTGCTGGATTTTTGTTTCTTTTTTTCTCTGCTGGCTGGGAAAGCTTCGACTTTGTTTTTGTATTTGTAGGGTTTGGAGAAAGGACAAGGAGAAGAGGACCTGAAGCAACAGCTGGCCCAGGCTCTGCAGGAGGTAACTGATCCCTTGCCATTGTGGGCTGTGGAGTGAGGGGCAGACAGGCTTTGCGTGGCCACTGGCTGCCTCTGCTGCTTAGTGCACACCTCTGTGGCATCTCCAGTGTCTGTAGATAGAGCAGGTGGCAGCTGCTCACACCATCAGGGTGGAGACTGGAGCCTCACAGACGTGCTAGACCTCAGCATGAAAACTTACATCTTCATCTTAGCAGAAGCTGCTCTAGTGAAGATGGAGTGGATCCTGTAGCAATTAGGAGGCTCTGGGGAAGTGGCCGCATTTCCAGAAAGGTGAGGGCAGCAGAAGGGAATTGCAAGCTGTGACTTGGCCACCACCAAGACCTGCAAGGGCTTCTAAACCCTCACCGCTCCTGAGCTGAAGCCATTCAAAAACCATGTGAGAATGTTCCAGTTAAGCATTTTAGGTCAGGTCGAGAATGCACAGTTTAACAGTCAGCAAAACATTGATTTACCGAAAGGGCAGGGCTCACAGGAATAAAATTCTCCTAAAAGATAGCCTGTCATCTATTTTGTTTAACTGACTGCTTCTCTCATCTGATTATTTTTATAAACTTTTTTGCATTATTAAAACCTGCTTTGTCTTCCCTCTTTAATGCATTAAAATTAGTAGTTTCATAGAAGTTTAGTCAGGTTAGTGGTATGGTTCATATCTCCTTGAAAAAATTGAGCCATTACATTAGAATTCGTTTAGGGTAATTTATCCTTACACTTCTTTTATTGCATACGTACCTCCCAAACTTCTTAGAGTGTGAACAGTCACATATTATTAAAAGCTTGGGAGGTACCTGCCTTCATTTCCTTTAGGGGTACAGAAACAGCTTTGGAAAGAACTTGGTGAAAATGAATTAAATCTTTTTGAAATTTTATTTTCTAGGGTAGGAGGGTAGGCATGTTTCCCATTTAGAGTACTATTAAATTAATTGGGAAAGAGTAAGGTTCTGCTACTTGGAAATCCCTAAGGGATCACTGAGTTCTCTACACCGACAACTTCTCACCCTCTCCTGAGACAGACAGGAGAACACACTATCATTTAGCATGAGGTACTTGGCCAGTCTCTATTCACTAGCCTAAAATGGGATACTTTGGGTCATAGTTCTATAACAACACCCCCCGAAGGATGTACTACTCTCTCAACTGAGACATGGTTGTATTTTGGTCCACCCTCGTGGTCTCTCGCTATTCCTTTTCATTTACCAGACAGACCATTATAACAATATGCATTTACCTGGAGCTTAAAAGTTTTTCTGAATGCTTTCGTATCTTATTTTATTGTTAACACTGATGTGGGAGGGGGCTCCTGTTTTCCCATTTTATAGATGAGAAAGTTAAGACACATACATCTAATGAGTAGTCAGGATGAATGAATACCCAGGCCTTCTGATGTAACTGCTTTTCTCAGGAGACTACATGTTTCAAAATTTGTTTCTTGATTTGTTTCTTGAGTAGTCTCTTCAGAAATACTTACCTTTACTCAACCTTCTTTTAAAAAAGGATTTGAGGTGAGATTTAAAGTATAAGTAAGCTGTACTTAAGCATGAGGCAGCTCAGAAGTTCTATTTCATGGAAGTGGAACCCCTTGACATCTGTGTAGGCAATCAGTCACAATGAATGAGCTGCGAGCCCTTGGGCCTGCCTGGTTGCAGAACACACAGGCAGTGTGTAGGCAGCATTGCCTTGTGAGCATGTTGTGTGTGATTTGTGGAGTAAATAGGTTTAAGGTCTCTTATTTCAATGAGAATGATTATCTAGTTGCCCTGAATCCTATTTCTCCCTGGTTATTTCTTAGAAGCCACTGCTAGTGCTGGGTAGCCTCAGAGTTACCTACTAGTTCTTGAGCATTGGATCTTAGAATCACTTGGACAGCTTTTTTAAAAATGCACATTCCTTGACACCAAGTGCAACCTACAGAATCATACTCTCTGGATGGCAGTTCTTTAGTTGATATAGATGGCCATGGAGGTTGGGTTCTTTCCAGAGGGATTAATAGATTTGATGGTCTCCCTCCCTTCCCGGACAAAAAAAAGTATCAGGTAAGTGAGCTGTCCTGATGGAACAAAGGCATTTTTTTTGAAATTGCCAGTCCATTGATCCCTTGAACGAATACAACTGATGGAGGGACAGAGCAGGCATATGCAGCTTAAAAGGGAGATGCAATGTTGCTCATCTTGAGTGTGTATCTGCTATGTTCCTGCAGCATCGGGCTCTAATGGAAGAGCTAAATCGCAGCAGGAAGGACTTTGAAGCCATCCTTCAAGCCAAGAACAAAGAATTGGAGCAGACCAAGGTACTAGCAAGAAGATGAAGGTTTAGAATTTGGTTAGTACATGCAACTCAGCATTTTCAACAGTGCAAGGGTTGCTATGGTGAATGGAGAGCGAGAATATGGCTGTTCTTGGCCTCGAGGGAAATAATGTGTAAAATTATTCAGGCCTATAGAAGGTTCTGCCTGTAAGACAACGTCTGTTTCCTCATTCAGAAGCAAAATGCTAGGGATAAGACACTCATCCTGCAGTCTAGTCCATTGTCTATTGCAGATGCTCCTTCAGTGCATCCCACTGACATAGGCTGTGGAGTGGTGTAGTCAAAATGAACAGTAGTTCATCCTCGAGCATTTATGAAATTATTTCCCACATCAAATCATTGGAACTCTTAAATTAGGGATTATACACTCAAATGCTCACCGAAGTCAGACTGATAATGGAATTGAGTAAAGTGTCCTGTGAGGACAGAGGCTCATGGGAAAGTGGTCTTCGCCCCCCTGCATCCCCCGCACCCTAAGAGGCAGCTCTTCTTTGCTGCAGTCAGTTGTTGCCATGCAGAAATGCAAGCCCAGTGTTGTCAGATATTCTGAGTTTTCCAAAGAAGATGGAAATCCAAATGTTTGCATAAAATATCCCAATTTTCAAATATTGGAAACAAATTCAGTTTTTTGTTTTGTTTTTCAATACTGTAAGGGCCAAACTAAACAAGTCTCTAGGCTGGATCCAGTCCACAGGCCATCAGTTTATAACCCCTGACCTGAAATTAATGCCTTGGTCTGACTGCCTCTCTCATCACATACAGATCTGGAGCAGAGTACAGAAAGGAGGAGACTCTTTTTCATTGGTTTGGTATCCTTATCCTCTGTTTAAATCATGTAGAACCTTCTTTCCCAACCCCCAAGAAGCCACCATATTTTCTTTAAACCAGCAATTAATAAGTTCTAATTAATAATTAGAAATGGGTTCAAACCTTCCTCAGGCCATAAGCAGTCTGTCTTTGCTTTGATTAGGAAAGAAAATAAAAGATGAAAAACAAAAAATACATCAACTCTATACCCTAAATGTCATTTCCTTTCTCCCTCAGAGGCTCCTGATACTTTTGTGGGGGGGGGGTGGTAATAAGGCACTAACTTAAATAAATGTCTGCTTCAAGGGAGCACACCTAAGATTGTCCCTAAAAAGTTTGTCCTAAATCATCCTGGTCTTTTGGAGAAAGCACAGGGAACTTGTACTGCAGACATCTGCAGGAGTGGGAAGTGGCAAACAGAGTTTGGGGCCTGAAGATTCTTCAGGAGGCCACTGTTCAGCCTCCAGGGAATATAGGAGTTATCCCTATTTTATAAAAGAGGCGGCTACAAAGAGCATAGGGGACTTTACATGCTAATTCAAGCTTCCTGCCTTTATGGACTACTCTTTATGCCTTCTTTTTTGTCCAGTGAGTTCTTGGTTTTTGGGATGATGCTATATAACCTCTGAACTTCAGTTCGCTATGGGATACTTAATGTCTCATTCTAGAAGGTCTTGGGTGGGTGGTGTGGTTAGTACGCTACCTTAAGTTTTTCCCATTTGGTTAATTTGGGGAAGGAGACAAAAACTACAATACAAATACTGAAAAAGCAGAGAGGGAAGAAAGGAAATCAGTGCCCTACTTTAGAAATCATTTCTGAGAAACAGTACCCCCTGGGGAAAGTGCTTTATTCCTTGTGTTGCTCCGCCAGGATGAATTTTTAATTTAGACTCCTTCTGAATTCTATTCCAGAAGATTAATTCTGCTCCCTGTCCTGTTTTGCATTCTTGTTGGTTCTTATGAATGACAGCCAGGGTTGTGTGTCTTTGCAGGAAGAGAAGGAGAAGGTACAAGCACAGAAGGAAGAAGTTCTTAGCCACATGAACGATGTGCTAGAGAATGAGCTCCAGTGTATTATTTGCTCAGAATACTTCATTGAGGTAATTATGAACATTATGATCGGTGGCTTATGGGAGCCTTGTCACTCTCCCAATCCTGAATGGAGGCTCAGCTATACAGGCTGCTTCTGCTCTACGGGACCATTCTGAAGAGCTTTTCTTGCAAAAAGTCCTTGTAGCTATTTGACTACAAGTGACCTTTAGAGGTGGCCACTTGTTATTTGTTTTCGTACAGTCTTCTTTAACTTTACTTTCCTTTTTCTTATTTCATTTGTTCTTGAGTATGTATTTGATATAATCAATATTTTTAGCTGCAGTAAAGCCTTTATCTTTGTTGTTGGGGAGGAAACAGGGCCACCTGGCATTAGATTTTTGAAGTACCAGAATAAAGCTGCTCAATAAATCTACTCTTTCTTTACTCTGAATGGGCACGGTGCTGAGAGTGGGTGTGTAGTGCAGCCTTTGAACAGGGTGGTAAATGTCATTGATGTGGGTCACTGGGAATTCAGCACACAAGTGGAACATAGTTCAGGGACTTGTAGGCTCCTTACGAAAATGAAACCTCTCCTAGATTACCATTGGTTATCCTGTCATTTTTGCACAGACTCTTATTTTTCAAAAATTCTACCATTTGTGACCAGTTCATCTTACACCACAAGTTAAATTCAAGCTGTTAAATGACAGTGCTTTTCAGATTCCTTTACAAAGGAAAATGCGTGCTGACACTGCTTCCTTTTTTTTTCTTTTTTCTTTTTCTTTTTTTTTTTGGTGGTCTTTTTTTTTTTTTTTTTTTTTTTTTTTGGTGGTCTTTAGGAGGTTGAGTCCATTAGCCTCCTGAAAATCTCTCCTGAGCAGACCTGTTTCTTTTGCTCTGGATCCACTTAGACTTCAGGCCAAAAATTTCTCCCATAATTTCTATTCATGTAATTTCCTACTTAGGAGAAACTCAGTTAGTGTTGTTTTGACAAGGCTTACAGACTCTACTGGATGAAGACAAGGAAAGGGGGCTTGGAACAGGTGATGAGTTAGCCAACCTGGAGCGTCTGCACAGACAGACAAGAAAGACAGCTTGCCCTGTGCTTTGTTTACTGCATACCACATGATCTTTCCTACTGGTCACCTCTTAAAGTCAGGGTTGGAAAAAGATTCCATTTTAATCAGGTAGGTGTTTAGTCATGTTTATAAGAATTTACCTCCTATAGTGAACAGAATGTTTCCTAGTCGACTTTCTGGGCTCAACTTGGCATTTGGAAAATAAATGATTTCTATGTTGTTTTCAACTGCTATCCTAAAAGCAGGAATGAAGACTTCGGAGCCTCAGAAAAAGTTGTATCTTAGGGGATGTACATAAACAGGAGTAATGAAGACAATGGTTTATATTCTTATTCTTGGGAATGAAAAGCACCCTGGCAGAAATCTGGGTGTACTTGGAAGAGCCCCTCAAACAACATGGCTCCTTCTGCTTTCTCTCTTCTCATAGGCTTATTTACTTAGGGGTTCAGGCATTGTCAGTGAACCCATTACATTTTTTCCATTTTCTTTCTTTTTTTCCCCAGGCTTTTTAGTTGCCTTTTAGATTTATTTTACTTTTTTGGTTTCTTTTGAGTAGAGATGATGCCTCCTACCATTCTATATACTGAGTTTTCAATGTGCGTTTCCTTTATTAAATATAGGTATATTAAAATTGAGGTTCTGATTTGCCATTAACAAGGCGTATATTTGTTTTTCATAAGAGAGTTAGTGATGTATTTGTACCAAACATTCACACAATTACTAATCCTACCTGTGTCCAAAGGCATTTGTTTGTGAAATATGTTGGCAATGGCCTTGCTGGTGGAATAGAACAGACCAGTCAGCCTACCTGGGGCCTGAGTTTATGAACTTTGAGAAAGAAAATAAATCATCTAATTTGAAGCTTAAAATTTCCCATCCCCAAGGGTGATTCTGGTACCTATCTCTAGATAGGGTATGGTTAAATATCCACTTCGCCTTGCCTAGCTTTTAGATCACAGCCACCTTAGGAAAGTAAGCAGGACAATTTTGATGTGTGTGTTCACATTCCTGTTGCAGGCTGTCACCTTGAACTGTGCCCATAGTTTCTGCTCCTTCTGTATCAATGAATGGATGAAGCGGAAGGTAGAATGCCCCATTTGTCGGAAGGACATCAAGTCCAAAACCCCCTCCCTGGTTCTGGACAATTGCATTAGTAAGATGGTAGATAATCTGAGTTCAGAAGTAAAAGAACGACGAATTGACTTAATTAAGGGACGAAAAGGTGAGTGGGTATGAACAAGATGGTGAGTGCCCTCAACGAAGTACTTATAAACTTTGGCAGATTTTTTTGGTTGGGGAAGAGAGTCAGACGAAAGATTCTGGAGCTAAAGAAGAAGTGGAAGAAATGGGAGAAAGTAAAAGGAGTTAAAGATGATGAATGTGTGAGCCCTGGCCAGGTAGCTCAGTCCATTTGAGTGTCATTCTGATACGCCAAGGTTGTGGGTGTGATCCCTGGTCAGGGCACATACAAGAAGCAGCCAATGAATGCGTAAATGAGGGAACAACAATCAATCTCTCTCTCTCTGTCTCTCTCCTTTCTCCTCCCTCCTCCTCTCCCCCTTCCTCTCTCTCTCTCTCAAAAAGGAAAAACAGTGAGTGTGAGAAAGAGTTGAAGTAGAATTAACTAAGTTGCTTGAGCAGCAAGAAGAGGGAGGCTTAAGTGTATGTGCCTTGGTTACGGGGGTAAAAAGAAAGATATGATTAGAAACACATAGACAGTTTGCTGTACTGATGACTAGACAGTGCTGCTGTTCAAGACAGTTTAGTTGCTGTCCAGGTGTTGTAAAACCCTTGAGTCGGATATACAATCAGTTGTAAACTGGATGCATATAAGTCAGACATTCACAACTGAATGCTTGAAGAAAACACATATACAGATTCTCTCTTTACAGGGCACAGCTTAATCACACAAATTGGGCATAGTGTTAAACCAAAGAGAGATCAATTTAATCCTACTGTGTCATCATTGGGGATCCTAATATATTTACCAGCAAGTTTCCCAGTTGGAGGGAATTTGGATAAAGAGATTGGGGTAGGGGTGGGTGAGTTTCCTTAACAAACCATACTTCCATAGTGAATATCTGCTTATTCAACTAAGTGATCTCCTCACACCAGCAGCCTGCTGTGTTGAGGGTTGTAGAGCTACTCTGCTTAAGACTTGAATGTCCTTGTGGCAAAAGGACATGTCCTGGGGCAAAGCAGAAGGAACTTAATGGTTAGGAAGGGTTGGTAATTGAGTAGGGATTAGAGTCCGTAGAAGCAGGGTATATTTGATTATAACATTAAGCCCCTTTAATAATCTAGTATAGCACTACCTTCTGAAAAAGCTTCAGATCCAAAGTGCTGTGATAGCCGCTGGCTGCACATAAAGACACCTGTCAGAAAAGAACCAGAAGCTTGCTGCCTTTGCAGGTATTTCCCACCACCTGCCCATTGGTAATATGTGTCTTTGGATGTATCTTTCCCTAATTTCAGAGAAGCTGAAGGCTTTAAAGCCACACTGCTAACAATAGGATCTTCTGTCCACTACCTCCTTTTTCCTAACCCTTCAGGAGATATCTGCCACTTTGAGTAGGGCCAGGAATCTGATGCTAATTTGCGAGTGGCTGTGGTTTGAAAATGGCCCTCAGTTGGTCAGCCAGGGCAGAGGCAGTAAGCTTGTCACAGAGCCAGTGGTGCAGGTGCTGAACAGAGAGTATATTTGAGCCTTTTATACTCAAGGAAGACATTCTGACCTGAAGGAGGATGGGGTGGCCCTCAGGTGGTTCTTTAGAAACAAAGTGTTTTACTCTGTTTTGACAGCTATGTGTTGTTGGGTTTTATGACTAGTTTTGAGCTCCCAGAGATTTTTTACCTCCCATGAGCCACTTGATTCTGGTAGAATCCCATTGCTCTTCCTCTCTGCCTCCCATCATGCCATAAGCAGTTATAGGAACACTATACCGCGGACCAGGATAAGATGGTAAATCAGGCATTATCTCAGCTCTTGTAGTACTCCTTGTCTATGGAGGGATAGAAAGGGAAGTAGGTGGTGTGACAAGTTCCACAACAGGGTTCTAAAAAACTGCAGAGAAGGGGACACTCAATTTGGCTGGGGCAGGTGGAGGTATCGGGGAAAGCTTCACAGAAGAAGAGCCTTTTGAAGTGAGTCTTAAAGCTTCCCTAAGGGGTAGCTTTCCAAGCAGAGGAATCAGCACAAGCAAAGCACAGAGGTGTGAGCGGCAATGATTTGTTCCTAACAGTAACCCCTTGTGGACCACTTAGATAGAGCATCTACATGGTGCCAGAGTAGCATGAAGATAGCCACAGCTTAGGGAGTGTAAGCTATGGCATTGTGAATGCCTTCTGTTTCTTTCCTCCTTTCTGAGAGGAACAGGGGCCTGGGAACCCAGATATAACCAAGGTCTGCCTTTGAGCTCAAGTGTGCTGGGACTGTGTAGGCATAGGAACACCAAGTACTTTCTTTGCCCAGCACATTGGCGAGGTTTCTTCTCACAAGTCCAAGGTCAGTAGGTGGTTTCATGCAGCATTGGAAAGGGAAAGAATATCAAACTCCTTTTTCTCTCCAAAGGCTAGAGGGTGCCTCTGCCTTTTTGGTAACACTAGGAACCTGCACAGTCAGCCAAATCAGCCTGCCTGTCGCAGTCATTGGCTGAGACCATTCTGGCACCAGTTTCAGTTTCTGCAGTTATCACACTGAGTGCAGCTTTTACGTTTTCTCTAGAGACAGACAGAAGGTTCCATGGCCCGATTTAGGGAAACATGTGCCAGAGCCATCATCAGCTTCACTGGTCTGCAGTGTGGGATTTAGAGAAAATTCTCAGTTCAAATACCAGCCTTTCTTGCCAATTGAAAGCTGGTTTAATCCCCAGTGCATCAGAATTTTAAAAAGGACCACACTTACGATCTGGGAACTAGGGTTGGCAAGTCTATAATTGTCATAGTTTTGATGCTGTGGCAGGGCTGTTTTCCTCCTGGCAGGGTTGCTCTGAGCATGTGTTCAGAGAAGGACACTTCCCTGTTTATGGCTGCATGGGCTCTGATCCCAGCAAGAGCAGCCCCAGGTAGGCTTCCCTGGTTGGTGGTGGTGTCTTCAAGTTCCATGTCCGGTGGGAGGTGTAATGCCTCATGACTGATTAACCGTTGATTCCTTGTGAACTCTGGGAGGCCAGATTATAGAGGTGAGGAGGAAAATGTTAGGATGCGTAATCCAGGTTGAAGAAAGAGTGCTCTGGAGCTGGGGCAGGTAAGGAACATCCAGTAAATGCTTGCTGCATTAGTAATTACAATTCTCTGGGATACTGATGTAAGAGTTTTCCTAGGGGAAGACATTTATCCACTGTAGAGGCTTTCCCTCTGGAGCCAGTGAGGTGCTGGAGCAGTCTCTGTCAGCTGCTTCAGCTCCCCTGTTTGTTCTGTTCTTCTTAAATGTTGGTTGGTTAACAGCAGTTGGTTGGTTAACATTCTCATTTTTAGCTTTTAACTAGCAATTTCTTTGGGTTGTGCTCAGAAAAGAAGCAACAAATAATCTAGAAATAAAATCTTGTTGGTCCTTTATAGCAGAGATTTCCAATCCATGGGCTTCTTCAAACTGCATACCCCAGCTCCCTTGGTACTCTACTAGTGAGTCGAGGCTGCTAGTCAGAAGTGTGCCGTGGCCTGCAGGTGTGCTGCGGGGGGAGCCAGGTTCATGAATCACACCTTCCCTGAATTTGTGGGACATGCCCCTCCAGAGGTTGGGGGTCTCTAGGAAGATTGGCCCATGTCAGACCACATGGCCTGTGGTTCTTGCCTGCTTCCTGCAGAATATCAGGCAGTGATTCAGACATGAGAAACTGGCGGTCTCTGAAGAGAGTACCTGCCTGCCTCGGGGAAGGCTGTCCCCGATGTTGCCATCATCCCTCGCTGAAAGACAGAGCTGGCGAAAGGAGCATGTGGGGAATGTCAGCAGTAACAGTGTTGGCAGGTTGAGTCATCCAGAGAGAATACTATGGGCATGTACTTTTAATCACCTCGGGAATCGAGAGGGTCACGTGCAGGATGTCAGCATGGCACGGGACAGTGTTTGTCAAAGGGACAACTGTTCTCACCAAGGGCAGCTTGGGGCTTGGGGCGGGGGTGTCCTCATGGATGCATACAAACAGTGTATAACATTGCACTTTTTACAAATTTTGACTTTAAAAAATGTGTCCTTCACAAAATTGTCATGGGATAGAAAACTAGCAGACTTATTACTAGAAGCTTTTTTTGTAATAGTCCAAAACCGCCCTCCATTTTTGCCCCTCCTTTTCTCCTTCCCTTCTCTTCTTTTGTCTCCTATTTTTCTTCCTTTCCCTGTCCCTCAAGTGGAATCTCCCTGAGCATTCTGATTGACATCTCAGAATGCACACCTGGAAGCGACAAGGGCAGCACAGAACTGTCCACTCAGCGGGGAAGGGACTGTGATCTTAGAAGTTAGCTTCTAAGATTAATTGGAATATGTGGAGTAGCCACCCAGAAAGCCCTAGAACCTCGAATTTCTGTCTTTTTAAAAATTTTTTAACTTTTTTATTTTTAAAAATATTGTATTGGTTATGCTATTACAGTTGTCACAATTTTTCCCCCTTTGCCCCCCTCCACCCAACCTCTCCCACTGCCTCAAACAATTCCCACACTTTGTCCATGTCCATGGGTCATGCATATATGTAGAACCTCAAATTTCTTGTTGACTCTGTAGTCCTTGAGATGTGGGGGTCAAAAGCCTGTTCTGACTAGTGCTCTGTGGTGGTGTGTCTTCTCTCCTTCGCCAAAAGCTACCACTGCACCACAGCCCCGGGCAGGTTTTCACAGCTTAGGAGATTGGCCTTCCTAGGGTAATGACGCCGTAGTGCACTCCAAATGCACACATGGCTGGGTTGGAGGGAACCATGCCATCCACGCCAGGGTGAGCGGCCCATGGCTGACGTGTCTGCGGAGTCCAGGACTCTGGTGAGTGCGAACCCCACCCCCCACCCACGTGGTACTAAGGGCAAGATGCGTACTTGCCCAGGTGAGCCCCTACCAGCTGGAGAGAAGGCCTGGGAGGAACAGGAGCACACGCTCGAGCTGCAGCAGAAGTGTGAGCAGCTGGTCATCTTGGGAGGTGCCCAGCAGGAGGGACTTCAGAACTTCAGACCCCTTGTTGCTATTTTCCACAGAATTTTCTCCTGGCTCTTTTGTTTTTGGTTTTTTTGTAGTGATAAAACAGAGTTTCCCAAAAATATGGGTGCTCATTATACATGGCAATATATGGTACTTCCAGGAACTTCTTATTGTAGAAGACCACTTATGTAAATATAGAGTAGTGTCATTCACCAAAGCAGCTTTTCCTTGAGAGTGTCTTGGTTCCTGCACTTAGCACTAGATGTACACCAGGTAATTTTAGAGCAAGCTCAAATAAGTTGGTATTCTAGATTTCCATGAATTAGTCGTGGAAATCTTTTTTCCTCTTTTTCCCTCTCCCATAGAATTGGGTACATCACCATTGAGGCTTCTCTGTATCCGCCTCAATGTATTCTCTGTAAATCCTGTATTCTCTGGATTTATATCTTGTCCAAGTGCCTGTTACTGTGGTTCTTAAGAGACCTGATAGGACTAGAAATGCTTCTATTCCTGATTAGGGCTTCTGCTTGAACTGCTTTCTGCTTTCCTACCCTGGAGAGTTTGGACCTCTTTTACAGTTGGCCCCTGAAGAGTAAACCAGAATCAGCACCGAAGAAACATCTGCTTCCTTTCTCTGGGCCTGTCCTTTTTCTCTGTACCTACCTAGTGTCAGGTGCAGGGGAATAAAAGCGGATGGGGCACGTGCGACCCCTGCCCTCGTGGAACTTTCGGTCTAGATGCAGGGCCTAGGCCGGCTGTGGTGACATGCTGTAACAGGAGGGATGAAAGGTGCTAGGCAGGGGTCAAGGGCAGGCAGAGAAGTGAAGGGAAGTCAAAGGGAGGTGGGTGCATAGTGTAGGTAGAAATGCCAAAAGCAAGAAGGCAGGAGAGGTTTGGGGGCTGAAAAAAGTACAGAGTGATGGGGTTTTAGGTGCAAGGCAACGTGTTGAGCAGTGAGGCTGGAAAAGCAGGCAGGACTGGATCATGAAGTCTTCTAGATTGTCAAAGATTTAGACTGGGAGCTGTGGAAAAACTATGCAAGAGTTTAAGTGGAGATGTGACCATTCATGTTTGTATTTTTCTGGATAGGTTAATGTAGCTGCAGTGGAGATAACATGGTGATGGGAACAAGAACAGAGGCAGCAGCCCTGGCCAGGGGTAATGGCTGGGTTAGAGAAGTAGCAGCGGGGATGGAGAGGGTGAATGGACTTGAGCAGGTGTTTAGGGGATAGAACCTACAAGTTTGTGGAGCTGGTTTGCTGTGAGGAATGAAGGCGCTCAGAGTTGCGGATCACTTCTGGTTTCTGTCAGGCAGCTGGGTGGATGATAGTGCGTTCACTGAAATAAGGAGCAGGTTGTCCTGGAGATAAGTTTAGTTTTAGACTCAAGTTGTTTAGATAGCCTAAAGTAAGTTGAGAGCTCTCAAGGGTATTGAAATATGTGGACCTGGTGCCCAGAAAATACTAGATTTGGGGATCCTCTCTGTGAGTCGTAAGAGCCAAAGGTCAAGACTCTGTCCCTGAGAAACATAGACACGGAAGGGCCAGGTAGTGGAAAAGGAGTATACAGGGCAGACCTGGAGGAGTGGCCGAAGGGAGATGGAGAAAGGGAGGTGTGGACAGGTGACAAAAGACATCAGAATGGTGTGCTCTGAGCCTTCCTGACCACACCCCTGTCTGTGGTCGCCCCTTATTACTTTCTAGACACCTCCGTATTTATTTCTTTCAAATACTTACAAGACTGAAATTGTATTTGTTAGTGTGTTCTTGCCCCTCAATTTATAAACTTGAGGGCAGGGGTTTTATCTTCTTGTATGTAGTATTCTCAGGGCCTAGAAGAATATTTGGTAGGTGTTCAGTAAGTGCACATTTGTGAGTGGTTATGAATGGAGGGGTTGGCAGTGTGAAATGCTGCTGATAAGGTAAGGATAAAAAATGCCCTTTAGATGTAGCAGGTGTATGGGACATTGATGATTTTGCCTAGGACAAGTTGACGGGGGGTGGAGTTTGCAGTGAATCAGAATGAGTAAGAAGTGAAGGAGTAGACAAGAGTAAGAATAGACAAGGTCATCAAGAAATTTGGCTACGATTGTGGGGAGCAGCACCTAAGAAGGCTATTGTTGGAGGAGGAAGTCAGGGTAAAGGAATTTTTCATTTTGGTTTTTTAAATATATTTTTTATTTATTAATTTTGGGGGGGGGGGAGTGGGGGAGAGAATGAGACATTGATTTGTGTTGTTCCATTTAGTTATGCATTCATTGGTGGTTTCTTGTATGTGCCCTGACCAGGTATCAAACCAGTAACCTTAGCATATTGGGATGATGCTCTTATCAACTGAGCTATCTGGCCAAGGCTTATTTTGTTTTTTAAAGACATGAGAGATTTGAGCATGTTCAGTTGCTGATTGGAAGGAGCCTGTAGAGAAAGATGCTGGGAAGTGAGATAGTGGATGGGGCACAGCTCTAGGAAGGTAGGGGAGGGGAACGAATGCCGAGAGCACAGATGGAGGAATTAGGCTTTAAAAGCAGGAGGCTGCATCCTCTGTTCCCAGAGGAAAGAGAATAATGTGGCAGGGCGGGCAAGGAAATGTGCTTGAGGGGAGTCAAGAGAATTTCATTCTTGTGACTTCTGCATTTTTCTGTGAACCCTCGGGTGAAGCCCTTAGCTGAGCGGAAGGGAGCCTCACACGGTTCTCCCAGCTCACCAAGGCTGGCGGCATGCCCCGCCCCAAGGCATCCCGCCTCAGCCACCTCCCAGAACTGGGAGAAAAGTAGCTTTTATTACTCTCTCAATCCTCCTACCAATGTGTTCCAGACCTCAGTCTCAGGGAAGGGGACGGTTTCCTTGGTGGCTTTATTGTGCCTTAGTGTAGCCAGGATGCCTGCTTCTCCAGGATCAAGGAAGCAGAAGCTGTTGAAAAAGACTGGAGGCCAATAAATAGCCCCTCCGACTGCCTCCCTCTCTGGACATTAGAGGAACTCCCACCTCTCCTTGCCAATCACTGTGGGTGCAATTTGCTCTTTCCTTCAACGTATATTTATAGAGGGCCACCTTTGTGTCAGTCACATTTAGGTACAAGGAATAGAAAGGAAAGTGAAAATCTAATAAGTTAGTTGTGATTATTACTGTGGAGGAAAAGAAGAGCAAGAAGGGTCAGTAGTAATGGGAGATCTTTGGCAGTTTTTGATGGGGTAGTCAAGAAAGGCAGCACCAGGAAGATAACATTTGAGTAGAGCTCCACAGGAAGAGGCCATGCTGCACCCGGGGAAACAGTGTCCCACGCAGAGGGAATAGGAGCGGGGAACATGCTTGGTGTGTTGGATGAACAGCAAGGAGGCCAGTGTGGCTACAGTGGAGTGAGTGACTAGGGAGGAGAAGGGGGTGAGGTGAGGAGGTTGGGCAGGAGGCAGGTTGTGTGGGGCCTCCCAGGCCTTTGGAAGGACCTTTCCTTGAACTCTTACTCTGGGAGAAGCAAGGAGCAGGCTTTGAGCAGAGTGACGTGATCTGACCTGTTTTCTCATTACCGTGGCTACTGTGTGAGGAAAAGACTGAGGGTGGCAGCAGGTAGGCCAGAGAAGGGACATGCAGGCTCCTCTTTTATTTCTCTTTTCTTTTTCTCCAAAGCAAAGAGACTGTTGTGAAGACTGTGCTGCAAGGGCCTTTAAAAGACTGCTAGGCAATGGAAGCTTGGGGTGGTCTGGAGGATTCTCCATGGACCGGCCTTGGGCTGCGCTGAGGCAGAGCGTGGAAGAACCGCGTGGGACAGAGTCTGAGTTGGGAAGCTCTCCATCACGAGCCTCCCATGCAGGGCAGCCCCGCTGCCACCATTGCCTAAAGGACAGTGGCACTCACCACCCGACGGAGTCAGGGTACTTAACAGACTCTGCCTCACGACATGTTAAATGGTTATATAGTTCTGTTTGCTTTTTAAATTTATTGTTGTTTTTGTTATTGTTTTGGTATCTCTGAAGCACCTCTGTTGACATTTGTCCTGGACAGCTTGAATGTACCCCTATGACTGCCCCTGAAAGTTAAGGCAGCGTCTGAGAGGATGGAATACCTCTTTGTGAAAACAAGATGTCATTTTCTGGAAATAAAATGTAAAATTTAATAGTTGCTCAGCTGGACTTTAGTGTATTTGTATTTGTCTTCCTTCCCTTCTAGCTCCCAGACAGTCTTACAAGTAAACACTGGCAGCTTATAAACTGCAACCAAGAAAGTGACTGAATCAGGTGACAGACTCAAGTGAACATCAGCCTTGGAAGCCAAGCCCAAGGTTATTACCATAGCAGATGGGCGCTGTTAAGCCCCTGACCATTGTGTTTCCTTTTCATTCCAAAGGTGGGTCACTGCTTACCTGGTTTCAGGAGGAGCGGATTCCCTTCTTCAGCTGGGGTTTGGAAGTAGTTTCCAAGTCTGTTTTACCAAATGTCAGAAAACTTGGACAATAATTTCATGCGTGTGCTTTTTAAAAAAAAATTAAAAGTCATCTCTCTTGCAACTTCCTAAACAGAAAGAAAACTAGATTGATTGGGAGACAGGAGCTTGGTATTCTTAGGTACCAGGGATGAATGAGATTGAGGGACAATGCAGGAAGTTCAAGAGTAGTCATTTGAAACAAGCTCTCTGGTAGGATTGTGAACTGTATTATGACATTCAATGATTTGCTTCTAGGTGGAAAGATATGTTTCCTTTATCTTTTTATGCCTACCTGGAGAATCATTCTTTGTATTTTTCATAATGGAGTCAAAGCTATTGACTCGCCAACTTTTTAGGATGGTTGGTTTTTCCCTTTGTTGAATATGCAGTTAAATTGTGATCCTGGAGTCTCTAGTCTTCATATCTGTCTTTCTTACAGTGTGTACTAATTGAAATACTAGTGTGGTCAAGGAATAAGTAAATGTAGAAAACAATACTTTAAAAATATCTATCATAACCACATCAGAAAAATGCTGGGGAAACAAAGAAAGAAAAGATTATTTCCATCTTAATGTGATAATCTCCTGTTTATCCTATACATGTGTTTTGTTTTATGATTGCATGAGCATATATAAATTTTTACTTATTCATTATTTTTTAGTTCATATATCATAATCACTTTTAGAAGAGTACAAATACACATTTTTAAATTTTTTATAAGAATTTTTTTAAGCCAAACTGACAAAATATTCCAGGGGGCAAGATCTCAAATGCTCCCCAGATAAGTTTTTTTTGACTAGGTAATATGACCACATGGTGTGAAATCCAAAGGTACGAGAGGACCTAAATTGAAAAGCCTGTCGCTCTTGTCCCCATTGACCACTTCCCTGCACAGGCAATGAATGAGTGTTCCCAGCTCTCCGTGTGTCCTTCCAGAGATCCTCCCTCTGTATATAAACAGAGACACATAGGTGGTCGTTTTCTTTCTTTTGCACAAATGATAATAAACTACACTATTCTGTCCCTGGCTTTTAGTGATAGTTCCATGTCAGTACATAAGGAACTTCCTCTTTCTTTGTTACAGCTGCCAATTATTCCACTGTGTGTTGGTAACAAAATTTGTCTTTCCAGTCTGTGATCTAGGTTGCTTCAAACCTTTTACTCTTTCTTTTTTTCATACAGCCTCAAAGTTCTATTAAATCTCAGAATACATACTTTTATGTATGTAAATACATAAGATAGATAAGTAATTGATTATGCTATCACAGTTGTCCCGGGGTTTTTTCCTTTCCTTTATTCCCCATCACCCTCTACACCGCCCCACCCTCCAGCATTCCCCCTCTTAGTTCATGTCCATGGGTCATACACATAAGTTCTTTGGCTTCTCCATTTGCTATACTATTCTTAACCTCCCCCTGCCTATTTTGTACCTACTATTTATGCTGCTTATTCCCTTTACTGTTTCCCCCATTCTTCCCTCTCCCCCTTCTTTCTGATCTCCATTTCTGTGATTCTGTTCCTGTCCTAGTTGTGTGCTAAGTTTGTTTTTGTTTTTGTTTTAGGTTCAGTTGATAGCTGTGAGTTTGTTGTCATTTTACTGTTCATAGTTTCGATCTTCTTCTTTTTCTTAGATAAGTCCCTTTAACATTTCATATAATAAGGGCTTGGTGATGATGAACTCCTTGAACTTTACCTTCTCTGGAAAGCACTTTATCTGCCCTTCCATTCTAAATGATAGCTTTGCTGGAGAGAGGAATCTTGGAGGTAGGTCCTTGTCTTTCATGACTTCAAATACTTCTTTCCAGCCCCTTCTTGCCTGCAAGGTTTCTTTTGAGAAATCAGCTGATAGTCTTATGGCAACTCCTTTGTAGGTAACTCGCTCCTTTTCTCTTGTTGATTTTAAGATTCTCTCCTTATCTTTAATCTTGGGTAACTTAATTATGATGTGCCTTTGTGTGTGCTTCCTTGGGTCCAACTTCTTTGGGACTCTGAGCTTCCTGGATCTCCTGGAAGTCTATTTCCTTCACCAGATTGGGGAAGTTCTCCATTATTTTTTCAAAGAAGTTTTCAATTTCTTTTGCGTCCTCTTCTCCTTCTGGCACCCTTGTGATTCAGATGCTGGAGTGTTTAAAGTTATCCCAGAGGTTCCTAAGCCTCTCCTCATATTTCCGAATTCTTGTTTCTTCATTCTGTTCTGGTTGAGTGTTTATCTCTTCCTTCTGCTCCCAATCGTTGATTTGAGTCCTGGTTTCCTTCCCTTTACTGTTGGTTCCCTGTTCATTTTTCTTTATTTCACTTTGCATAGCCTTTGCTTTTTCTTCCATTTTGCGACCATACTCAATCAATTCAGTGAGCATCCAGATTACCAGTGTTTTGAACTGTGCATCTGATAGGTTGGCTATCTGTTCATCGCTTAGTTTTATTTTTGGAGCTTTGATCTGTTCTTTCATTTGGGCCATATTTCTTTGTATCAGCAAGTCTGTTACTTTGGAAGGGGCAGAACCTTATGTATTCACCAGGGCAGGACAACCCAGGCTGCTGCATTGTGACACTGGGGGGGAGGGAACAGTGCCGCTTGCTTGGCTCTCGATGGCTTTCAGTCACTTCCCCTGCTACCCACAAGCAAATTGGGCCCTTCTGGTGCTGATCCCCATGTGGGTGGGTTTGTGTAGGTTCTAGGACCCTGTGGGTCTCCAACGAACTCTCCTGTGAGGCTGAGAGTTTTTCCCGCTGCTGCAACCTCCACAGGTTTTTACCTCCAGAGGTTTTGGGGCTTGCTTTTCCTGCACTGGAACCCTGGATTGCATGGTCTGTCTTGCTGTCCAGCTGTTCCTCTGGTTTATCTGCATACAAATGTGGGACCGCCCAGTCTGCCAGCTGCTGCCTCACCTGCCCAGTCCTCCAGCTGACGCCTTGCCACGTGTCCTCTCTGCCTGGCTTCCCGTCTCCACTCCTCCTACCTGTCTGGATGAATGTTTATTCTTTAACTCCTTGGTTGTCGGACTTCCATACAGTTCAATTTTCTGGCAGTTCCAGTTATTTTTTGTTTTTAAATTTGTTGTTGTCCTTCAAAAGAAGGTTGTGTGAGGGGGGCAAAGTGTATCTACCTATGCCTCCATCTTGGCCGGAAGTCTCTAAATCTCCGAATATATACTTTTAAGTAAAACAACAAAAATGACAATGACAAAAATATATAAAATCCATAAAGTGAAGAAGAAAAAAGGAAAACTGGAAATCCACATTCTGGGGGTTCTCTATTTAAATCTAAGAGCCTCACATCTGTTTCTTTAAAAAATATTTATGGATATAACTTTCTAAATGTTTGTTAGTACTAGTGTTGTAAGTCTGGTTCCACAATAATCTATAATGTAATCACTTCCATCTGAAGGTCTAACAATCTGCACTGAAGTCAGAATGAAGTCCACTAGGCTTCCCACTCCATACAACCTTGCAGTGCAAAACTCCAGTGAACCCAAGGCAGAGTGTCCAGGGAAAAATCAATCTGCTCCCAGCCATCCAAGAAAAAGACAGTACAGCTGCCACTTTGTATGACTAGCCATATACATTTTGACAAGATATGGTCTTGAGAAAATTAACTTCAAAATATGTTTCATTGCCCCTGAAACTCCGTACAAGTTATATTGGGTGCTGGAAAACAGAACTGTGAAAACATGGCTTTTATAATTGTAAGGTTAAGTGGCTCTTATGTAACATTGTTTATTCTTTAGATATTTACATATATATTGCCCTACTTTGAAGTCCTCACACTTGTGTCCCTTTGCCCCCAGTGGAAGTGGCGGCAAGCCTCCAAGCTCCCGTGGTGACTGAAACAAGCCCCAGGGCACCCCTATTGTGGACCAGTGCATCCCACTTTTTATGAAACAATGCTGCAGCGAACACCCTTATATTCAAACATCCACAATTAGAGGAAAGATTCTCAACTCCAAAAGCCTGAAAACCTTCTGTGGAGACGGATTTCACAGACTGACCATCTTCTCCCTGGATGGCCGGACACAGCGACTTGCAGCTTCTCCCTTCAGAACACATTTCTCTCAAGGGTGCCACACAGGTTAAGAAAGTGAGCTCTTAAATACAGACTTAAAAAAAAAAAAGAAAACTTTTAAAATTCAGAGTGCTGGGGTTTGCATCCCAGCCCTGCCATTTGTAACTGTGTGACATTGGGCAAATTAATCAACCTCTCTGAGCCTCAGTTTCTTCATCTCTGAAATACCCTAATGTGAGAGCTTATATAATTTTTCCCGTCACTGCACTGCTCACAAACAGAGATTTGAGTGTTCTATTTTTAAAAGACACAAACCAAAAATTAACCCAAACTTTTGCATTATTTCTCTGAGCTACAGTATGTTCTTTCCCTGGAGAGATATCTGATATTAAATATCATCTACATTTTGCTTGCCTAGAAAAATACATGGTAACTTTTCTGCCTTGCAGCACCAAACCACAGTATAGCTGAGCCCCACCGCTGTGCAAACTGGCTCTAATTAGAGGCCTGTTCTCTAAACAGGGCTCGGAGAAACTGGTAAAGAGGGGATGTTTCACATTCTGGCTTTATTAAGCAGATGAATGTAGCCAGCTAGCTCTGTGAAGTGCTTTGCAGTGAGTGGCAGGTGTCCCATATCCATCTGATTACGTTAACCTAGAAAG